TAACAAACTGATGAGGTGCTGGGTGCCCCTCAGTTATGTACCAGATTACTTGCCTGATTGTGATATTGAGACACCCTCTGGTATCCTGTCAATTAGCCACAATTATCAAGTTATGAAAACCTGATGTGGTATGTTATGGAAACCTTATACAAACACCAACAGGATTCTGACCAACATGCTTTTTAATGTTCAGAAATGTTAACATTATTCACTTTAATTGCTGCCACATATTTCACTTTCCAAGTCTTATTTCTTGCAGAAGGGGGCCAATTATTGGGTAGTCAGGCTGCTCAGAAAAGTTTGGATGCTTATAAACATAGTTTGAAATACATTCCAAATATCAAATGTTCCAAAAACATTTCTGTGAAATTAAAGATTTTGCATCAAAAGTACATGACAGTGTCCTATTTTAAAACAGCATTGACTGATACTATTTACTGACTAAATCAGCAGTTTTAAAATATATTGTGAGCAATCCAGTTCTCTTTGGGGGCACTTTGTACTAATAGTCTCTATCAAAAACACTTGCCTGGCATTCCAGGTATAGTGCATTTGAACTTCTTGAGTGGTGTACTGTTTCATATTCACATGTGGTGATGAATATGTAGCATTATAGCACCACTAGAAGTTACTGGGCCACATGTGCTACTGGCATACTAACTAGTTTCTGTTGCAAGCTTGGATGTGGGGTGTTAGGGTGGAATTCCTAAGTTAATTACAAACAGGGATAAATCTTTCTTGATTGTGCTTAGCTTGATTTTAGCATATATCTGTATTGCCACAAAACATCTGTTGCTGCAGTCTTCCTTGAGTACCTCAGCAGCATTGCGTAGAAATAAAATTGTCCAGACATTCTGACACTTGAGATGCTATTACTGTAGCAGTTTAAAGACTAATCAAAGATGCTATATTAGCTATTTTTTATCATCACTGATGAATTTAGGGATGCGGAATCTTAGCCTAATTTTATATTGGGCACAGAGGGTGTGCGGCATGGATGGAGGATGAAGTGGCAGATTGGGAATGAAAATGAGTCAAGGGAACTATAAATCTGTGCAGTGCTGCATGCAGTATCCACTTGTGACTGTGACTATGCCCAACATAGCCATGGCAATGGAAAAATGGCTCCTCCATGAAAGAGTTTCCCTATATGAGAAAGTGGGTTTGTGTGAGGTTATGGCATGTGAGGATTCTAGGCTCTATCATGGTTCTAATGTAATTGGAAGCATGATGAAACTAGGAACCCAGTTCTCAACAGCGATCAACTTTTTTTTTCTTCTGTCCTCCATTAGGTCTAGGGAAACTCACCCACTGCTAACTTTGTGTGTATGGAGGCAAGTTCAGACTTTATTACCAGGATGGGGAAGGGTTTGGCGGTTAAATAGAGCCAAATGGGTGTATTTGAACTGTCCTTTTAACTCAGTGCACACAGATGCAAAGTTCATATACTTCTTGAGTTCCAGCATTTTTAACAGATATGAAATCTATATGACACTTACTATGTTCTTACTTATTTTATACATTAATTCGAATGCTCATTTAAAAGCTTATCTACAAGCCTTACGTAAGTACTGGATATACTAATTTAGTACAGCTGATCTGCTGAACTTCTATTATTAATGCATTCAGTAAACCAGAAAACCTCTGTGCCAATGTGCATGATAAAGTGGGCTCCATGAGTCATAGAATCCTTTTTTTTCCCTGGTACTGTTGCCACAGTTTTTGATGACTGAAAAGTTGTTTTGCATTTTACAATATTGGGGAGAGCAACACACAGGCTACTAGTACTTTTGCTGTTCAGTTCATATTACCTGGCTTGTTAAAGTAATGTGCCTTTCAGATAAAAAAGCAGAAATGCCAGTCATTTAAGCATCCAGTGTTCATGCACATCGTAAGATGTGAAAAAGCATGAAGTCATGAAACATGAGAAGTTTATGTGTGGAGATAACCTGACACTGCCTACTTCATTATTCTATAATATGATAACTCTGTGGTATCAAATGGAACAAATTCCTTCATCTTTATTTTACTTGCAAAAACACACACATATCTTTTTTAAAAAGCAAAGATGCCAAGGTTTGGACTTGGTCTTCTGTTCCTCCCAGATTATAAACTTTCACTGAGATGACTTCAAACAATATAAAATGGAAGATTATTTTGGTGCTGCTCTTGAGCCCTTTAATAATTAAAAGTAATGGAAGTTCAGTTAGGTTCAGTGCAAATATATTTTAAACATAAACATTTAACACAATACTTGTGTTATTGTGAAAGTCCGTGTGATGTGGTATATAGAATGTCAGACTAGGAATCTGGAGACCAGGGTTCAAATCCCTGCTTAGACTTGGAAATTCAATGAAGGATGACAGATTAAAACCACTAAAGAACCTCTCACATATCTCAAAAACCCAAGTAGGGTTACTATATGTCAGAATCAAATTGATGGCACATAATAACAATGTTTTGTGCTACCAAGTCTGTAAGACATGACATTATTAGGAGTTTGGGGCTATGGAGGGCTATGTTATTAGCCACAAAGTCTGTAAAATAAGGGCATTACTAGGATTCAGAAAAGCAAAGGATAATTCTGATTATATTTTCACGATTAAAAAACTATGCCCTAATATAGAGGTACATATGTGTAAGGGTACTGAGGCTAACTGGGATAAGCACATCTAACTCTGGTTGGGTAAAAGTAAAATATCTAAGTCATAAAAAAATTATTATAAAGCCATATTATTTTTGGATTTCTATTTTCTCCCTTGAAACATTGACTACTGACCTCTTGAGAGTAAAGCTGGAGATAGTAGTTACCTGTCAAACAGGAACTGTTCAAGTTTGAATAACTATGAACAAGTAAGGTGAATTGTTTTCTAAAGTAAATGCAGTATTAAAGTTATCTAAAGTAAATGCAGACAAAGTAAATGCAGTATTTTTCAGAGAGACCATACAACCAAAACTACTGCTGCAGCAACACCATTGGTATTCTTTGTAAATTATGTCTAATTTTAAAACTACTGTTAAGAAATCATGTTTTGGTTTAGACAGCATGTTATTCATTTTAAATTTAATAGCTGTAATTTCTGTTGCCCCAGTTGAGATATTTTGAACTAACTAGTTTCATGTGGTGGAAGAATAGTACAATTACCCTTACTTTCCATGATTTACCTAACATGAACACTAACATTCAGGCACTCTATGGGGAGATCTTATGAGTGGCCATATTGTCATTTTCAGGTCAAGTGGCATTATTTTATCAGCTGTAGATACTAGTATCTGCATGGAGCACACAAAACATCTGTCACTTCTAGAGAACCAGAATGGTGTGGGGTGGGGTGATTTACACTATTCCTTCACCAAGCAAAGCCCTATTTTTACCTGAGAAACATGTAAACCATGTCTTCACTGCTGATGGGAATCACTTATTAGGAACCAAACATCAGATTATAATGTATTTTAATAAAGATTTTCATTTTAGATATGGTATTTGTGTGATTTGGGAAATAATTTAAAATAGAAATTTTCATTCCAAATGTTTTTTTCCCCTTTCCAAATACTTCTGTTACCAACACGTAATGATCCCATAGATCCAAGGATTGATTGTACCTCTTTTGACATCAGAGTTAAATCTCTTTGGCTATTTGACCACATCTTTATAATTTATCTAAATTATTAACAACTACCTCCTCTGTATTCTTTATATGGCAAATGGGCTATAGAAAACCATCAGCAAAGCATTCTAGGTATTGCTTTAATTTATAGTGAAACTGTCATTTCATCGAACTCTTGTATTAAATGAAGATGACCCAATGACACTGTCATATAATTTTGCGCAATTCCTTCTCCACATTTTCCCTATATATATATTTCCTTCTGATGCACCTAATGTTTGCTATTGGTTTGTGAATACCACAGTTTATATCCCATTTTAAATAAATGTTATTAATTCAGAGTTCTGTGGTGGTTCTGCGTGGGAGATTTCATTTTATAACTGCATTCTGCATGACTTTTGAATTGTCAAGGCAGCCATGTGAAATTACCTCACACTGAAATTGTTTTCTGTTGTTTATTTTGGGTTTTTTCTTGTCTAAAATCTTCAGGAATTTGTTCTGCTTAATGTTACTCTCTTGACTGGTGAGTAAAGCAGCATCTAAATTGCTGAAATCAAATGTGTGAATTGTATATTTCCCTTTATTTGTGTTATACAATTTAAATATCATTACAGCAGTAGGCTAAATTCATTTAGTTCTAACTAAAGTAGGCCCACATAATGAATGGGATCAATTAAGCTAGTGCAAGTCCCAAAATTTAATGAGACTACTCTGGTTGGGACTAACAACTAAATTTAGCCTCCTGTCAGCTTTTGTCAAAAATATCATTGTGGATGCTGCCTCAATGTAACTAGTTAAGATTTTGTAAACAACTCTATGCAGATTTGTTAGTTTAGGAATCTGATAATAGCTTCTTATTATTTAATACTTTCATCCCAGCTAAACTAAATACAGTAGAACTGCAAACCCTATACTTGAGAGCCCCACTAAATGAAACCTACTTCTGAGTATACATGGATAGCACTGCATTATATAAACTATGTTTTCATCACAAGGTGAGCTTCAAAGAAGATATCCGGTATGAAGGAGTGTCTAGTAAAATGTACAGATTCTAACAAACTTGGCACCCTGCTTTCGAAAATTTTACAAGGAGTAGACCTAAGTAATTCCCATGGACCTTTTCCCCACATACTTGTTTTGGAATAGGAATTCAATCTAAGAAACCCTGGTTGAAAAAGAGTTACATTAAAATCAATATAAATATCTCCTCTTTGTCCCTTATTTTGCATGATACTGTTAGATAATTTCTGCCTGAACTGAACACAGGGCAAAAGCTTACTAGATTGTGTTAGGTGCTGGTATAATTTAACAGAGCTTCTGAAAACATTCGATTATCTTGTATTCTCAAAAATTCCTCTAGAAAAGGGAGGACATCATCAACAAGAAAATAAGTTGAAAGGCTCTTTGACATTTATTCTGCTTGCCTTACTTGGGTTCAGATGAGCAAAGAACACAAAGAGTGACCCATTAAACTTTTACAACAAAAAAGAGGGAAGATTACTTGTATTTGTAAGGAAAAATAGCAATTTTGGCATTTAAGTAAATTGGAGAGTGCAGATCTATTTTTCATAGAGCAATGGAAAATTAGAGATAGAATAGTAGGATGTATAAGAATGAATGACTATATAAAGTCTCCCAGAACTTATGAACAAAATCATTTTTTATCATTCCTACCGCTGGATAAATTGTGTTGAGTATCTTATTTCAGAAAAGATTCTTTCTTGTCTAAATCTTAGATGGACTGTAGTTACAAGCTTAAGGATTTTTTTTTTCAGAACAGCTTTTCAAGTGATACTGTATGGTAGAAAGAATATGATGGAAGAAATCACACATATCACTCTATTCTCTGGTTGCTATGTTCAAACTAATAAAAGCACAGGAAAAAAACAACAGAAAATAAATTGACACATATTTTGTCTTCTTTGAACTCAACCATAAGGATAACCTCATTCTCCTTTGCTCTTTTCTATTTGGAAGTAGGATACTGTACCTAATCTTAAAAGTCTTCATCTAACATAAGTTATATATGTGCACTACATATGTGTGTGTGTGTGTGTGCATGTGTATCCACATACACAGACATATATGCACACAGATATATAGTTACACAACTGAGCAGATATTAGTGGCAGTGTATGCAAAACAAGAGAAAACAAAAATTACTTTAACAAGGTTACAATTTTGTTTTTTCATTTTTTTACACAAATACTGTGGTAAATATATTTTTTAAAAAAATCAGCACTCTATCTGGTAAACACCACCTCTGTCCCTCTATAAAAAAATTGAATTAAAAAAAATCATGAGACCTCTTTTTAGTTACTTCCCACCCATGTCATACTTTACTTTCTTCCACAAGAATAAACCTTGATGCAGCCTTTTTGATTTTTACTCCCAACACCTGTGGAAGCTAATCCTTTCTTGTCCCTAGAACATTAGGTGAAAAAACTCTTGAAATTTTTTCTTTTTGCTATTTCTTCTTTGATAAAGTCCCAATGATTATGCTGAGGCCTTGGACTCAGCCAGATACTGAATAAATTACGAAAAAGCCATCTTCGCTCACCTCATTCTTACTTAATTTTTTCTAGCCTTTGATGAAAGATGGTTAATCAGGGAGAAAGAAGATGGGGACTATGAATCAGAATGTGTGGAAAGGAACACAATCCACAAGAGGAATCTATTATTCTCCTTCCCCATCCTGCAGGGACTCCACACCATCCAACCCAAACTCCCTTGCCCTTCTCCAAAGCCCTTCTTATAATAACGATTATTATATTATAGGGCTCACTTTCTGAGGTTTTTGCTTAACCATTTAGTTCTATTCCACAGTTTTAACTGGATACTCTGAAGTCCAAAGTGGTCAGAATTGTGAATCTGTCCACTGAAACACTGCAAGCGGTGTACTTACGACAGTAGGCCTTGTAGATTTCATAATATATTTCTCTTTGTTGCTGTTGTTTTGTAGTGCTCTTCACAAGTGACAAAAAGATATTTTTAAAAGTTTTGTCTGTAGTAAAGAAGGGTTGTATTTAGAGGCCAGTAGCTAGAGATCTAACCAGTAGATCTCCTGAAGCACTATCTGGCCTTAAGGCCACCATCAAAGGAAGGCAAGGTTAATTACTTTTCACCCAGCTTCCAGAAATGTAATGTACCAGCAGGCAAAAACAGTTCTTCATGTAGTACAAAAATGAAATGAAAATAAAATGAACAAAGAAGTAAAAACAAACAAACAAAAATATCAAATTCTAGTGCCATAGCTTCTTGTTGTTTCTCTGGTTGGGCTTTGTTGTTGTTCATAACAGAATAGATTTTACTTATCCATCTGAAACATGCATTCTCATGTGGTCATTGAAATGCTCAATTTGGTCAAACTTAGCTGGACAGACGGAGCAGACATAGGTGGTTCCCTCTGTGCAAGCCAACACTCCTGTGGGAAGAGCCCTTGCACCAGTCCCTGTTGTGGTAGGTGTTCCATTTGTGGCACTATGGAGAGCCACATGTCTTTCAAGCAGGGTCTTATGGGAGAATTTTTTCTTGCAGATGTAGCATTCATAGGATTTCTCCCCTCGGTGGAGCCGCATGTGCACATTCAGGGAGCTCTTCTGGGTAAAGCGCTTGTTACAGATGCTGCATTGGTAGGCTCTGACACCAGTGTGTGTCACCATGTGTTTGATTAGGTAATCCTTTAGGGAGAATGATCGCCAACAGATGCTGCATTGGTGGGGCTTCTCACCTGCATTGTGGCACACAGAAAAGGAAAAACATGAGAGGGAGAGAAAAAAAATTAATACCAACGAAGCTATCTAATGAACAGGCCAGTTTGAATTCACTTCTAATTGCGGAATTGTTGATTCAGTGAAGAGAGGTTTCTTAGCAATCAGTAATTTTTGTTTTACTGTATGTGAGGAGTTTTCTTTTTTTGAAAAAATTTCTTATTTAAAAACAATATTGCATTTTTTTTCAAACAGAAAGTAACTTGACCAAAGTTTCCAAGGACATATTTATAGGCACTTGGCTCTCTAGGATACTTGTTATCTTTGTTTTTTTAAAAAAATATTATTGCTGCTATAATGTCATGAATTATACTAATGAGGATGCATAGTTTAACAAAGGTAAATGGGGATCCTGAGTTTTGTTTGAATGCAAATAGACAGGAATGAATTTTGAAGATGTATTTAAATGAGTACCAGTCACTATTTTCAGACATGTTAAAGGGGAACATATCATTCATAAGCATATACACACAGTCTTCATCTAAGCCAGTGGTCCCCAACCTTGAGCCTCCAGATGTTCTTGGACTTCAACTCCCAGAAATCCTGGCCAGCAGAGGTGGTGGTGAAGGCTTCTGGGAGTTGTAGTCCAAGAACATCTGGAGGCCTAAGGTTGGGGACCACTGATCTAAGCCATACTAAGTCTCCACTTCACTTCACTACCAGTTCAACCAATATTGTACACCATGTGGCAGTCAGTAATACTTTGCAACAAGGAGAGATGTAAAGGAACACAGCATATCTTTGCTGCAATGCAGCTCACACCAAAGCCCAAGAACACTATGTCAATAAAAGTGACAGGTTGGCCTCATCAATCAGCTGCAGCAAATTACACAAACCTTGCACCAATAGCAATAGGATTCCAGCCACTGGATATTAATTCAGAATAAAACTGTTGGTTTGCAGTCCTTCTAAGACAGAACAGCAAGTTTTTTTTTTAGATAAAAAAGAATATAGCAGGAAGAATGCTAATTTGCAATTTATTAAAGGAGAAATAGGGTGCTCCTCCATTGTGATAAATTTCCCTATAGTACCTTTTGGAGGTACACTGGAGATTCAGAAAGGCATTTTGTGTTTAGTCACTTACAAAGTAAGACAGTTAAGACATCATGTCTGGATTTGATTGACTAGTAGAAGCTGGTGAAAAATAATATTTTAATCTCCCCAATAGGGAACAACAAATTTAAAGTAAAATAGCAAAGTTGCAGGAAAGAATTACTAATAAATAATATTGGTTTTACAAAAGCTATCTTATCACATGTAGACTTAAATAAGAAGGTGACATGTTATGATCTGTACAAATCTTCAAATAACTTTCATTTTATGAATGTGTGATATTGTACTTCTCCTACTCAATATCATACATATGTTGCCAGCAAGAAAAAGGATGCCAAGCTTGATAGATAAAACCTTTATTGGCATAAGTAAAAATTGACATAGTCATAGTAGTTTGTTAGGTAACTACATATATAGGCATCAAGAGGGTGGAAAAGTGTTAGACATCCTCAAAGGAACAGTGGTTTTCTCTTAACAATATTATCTTTCTACAATGTAAGTCATCTCGACTATCAGCATATAGTGAACTTTATCCATATCTGACCTCCCTTCTAGTTTTAATAAAATTGGAGCTATTAACCTTGTTTGGCAGATTGAGTGAAATGGGCAGTGCAAAAACATATGAACAAGGGTTTCCAGCACCCCCTGTTCACATGGGCAGTGCCTTTCAGAATATGGAACTGCATTAAATCTGCCATATAATATAGCAGTAAGCATGACATTTCATCTGGCCAAAGAAAAAACCCTACATTTTTGGGGGCATTTGCGCAAGGAAAGGTAGGCAGAAGGTTTACCCATTTTAGGAGGAATATGGAAAAACAATGGTGAACAGAATTTATTGGCAGCACTACAAAGGTCCTGGAATTCAATATCCAAAATAATAATTTGGACAGCTAGCGCTTGACTTAGAGCTCCAAGGTAGTCGCTATCTATACTAATTGATTTCAATTTTTCAAGTGGACCGTTGACCCAAAAGGTGGGACAGAGTCCCACAGAAGCTGGTATAATAAACTGTCTATGTTTGAATTGTAATAGATACTTAAACAAAATTTGAATGATCTCAACCAAGCTACAGTCTGTATTAAAGATACTCTGGACTCCAGACAGAGTACTGAATAGGGCACACATCTAGGTAGTCCTAACACTTTGCATAAGAAGGAGGATTGTAGCTGGTCGAGCTGTTGCACTTGCCCAAATTGGGAAACCATAGAGGGCGTGTGGAATAATTTTGGACTTGAAAACTTGTAATGCTGCTGGGACAAACTGATTTCCTGAATTATAGTAAAAACGCAGAATAGATTAAGTAGTGATCCTAGCTGCGTTTATAGCCATTTTTCAATGGGGGACCAAGAGTGCTTATAATGAAAAAGAACACCTAAGTATTTATACTGTTTAACCTGTTCTATGAGTTTTCAAGGTTTTGCCACATTCATTAAAGAAATCAAACTGTTGTTACACTCATTCCTTGACAGTAATTTTTGGAACTTTTGTTAAGTTCCTCCAGTTAATTTTGTTCCCAATTGCTGACTCGTTCCGTAGAGTGAGGGAGGCAGCCCTCATATTGACTTCTAAGACCATATCTGCAAACAAAGAGAGGTGATCACTGATGGTGAAATGTGCCACACATGGTTTCAGAGAAAATGATCTCAAAATATAATCAATGACGCTAGAACCCTGGGTGGCTATATGTGTGTATTCCCCTGCATCTGGGAATTTTGCTAAACCATTTAGCCAAATTAAATTGAAGCGAATGCACAGGTTAGCTATTGAGACTCCTGCTGTATAACAGACATGGTTCTTGGACTGTCTGCTAAAGGTGCAACAGGCAGGAAGGGAAGTATCGCAGTCCACATCTAATCTAATCAGAAATATTAGATCATCTTTTTCCCACCCTGGCATTCAAATCACCTGCCAAGATGAACTCAGCCAGTGGGAACCTCCTCTCATTTGGTTAAGGAGTTACACTGTTGAAACCACTGTAGATTATTAAGACCTGGGAGTATGTATATGTTGACTAGAATCAACACTTTGTTAGGAGTACAAATCTTAATACAGTGGACCCTCGACTTACAGACTTTTCGAGTTACAGACTTCTCTGGCTGCAAAATTTAGGTTCGACTTGCAGCTGGAGAATCGACCTACAGACCAGAAAAAACCCAAAATGGAACAGAACAAAAACGGAACAAAAACGGCCGGTTGCGGATTAATTGGTTTTCAATGCATTGTAGGTCAATGGAGCCTCGACCTACAGCCACCGTTCCAATACGGATTAATTCCGTAAGTACAGGGTCCACTGTAGTCAATAGACTACAGTGAGAGAGAGAGGCAATTCAATATACTCTGAATTTAAGGAAGTTTTAACCACTGCAGCTAGGCCAGCAGTTGGTCTCCCTTTCGTTATTGACCTTAATTGCAGGTTCGCAATACACCTTAGACCCTCCCAGCAGTACTTGGTCTACAGCCAACATTTCCTGTAATAATACAATATCATAATTTTTGATGTAATTCACAAATGAGCTATCTTTACATTTACGCTTCCAGCCTATGTTCCATGAAAGAATTTCCTTTGTAAGGTGGTCTAGATTTGTGGCTTCTGGAAGTGAATTTAATGGGTCATGAAGTAGTAGATCATCCGCTGTGGGTTTTCCTGGATGGGTTTGCGCCACTCCCACGATGTTGGGAATGGAGTAGTGGTGGGTAGATGCTCTGATGCAGACCAAAGGGAGCTAAAGGAATGGAGGATGATGTGGAGAATTCAATGATCAATGAAGGATCAGCCGGCAGGGTGGTAAAAATCTTTACAAGTGGTCCCAGCTTCTTCCACAAGTTCATCTCCATCAATATCCAGTTACATCAGTAAGTCCTTGGATGGTGATTCAGTTTTGTCCTGACCAGTTACCATCTGAGTAATACTGTTTACCTGCTTTGCAATGCTGCCCCACTTGTGGCCCAAGCTGGAAGTCTTCTCCTGGACCTTGAAGAGCTCTAGAGTAGACTCAATTTTAGGTTTTTGTATCATCCCTTCTGCTGGCATTATTGTTAAGCTATGCACAGCTGGGAACCCTCTTAAATTTACTAAAGATTCTTCCAAGGACTTGGTCAGGCACTACAGCTTATCCAGGGAGACTAGTTCTCTGGTCGTTTTGACTATGTTTGGTTCAAAGGAGCCTTGTGCCGTTTCCCCTCTGCTGGGACATGCTCCCTTACTTTTCCCCTGTGCCTGGAGCTGTTGGATATGGGAGTGTGAAGGTTCTTTTCCCTTTTGTTTTAGTAAGTCCTGTAGGGAGTCCAGCTGATCAGCAATATGCTGGATTTTCTGAAAGACAGCCTTCACTGTCTTCCCTGTAGCTGTGCAGTGCTTCCCCATTAATCTCAATAGTTGGAGATCTATTACCCCTTATCCACCAGTGTCAATACATCTTCACCCTCCTCTGAGGTTTCTAACCTTTCACCAGCTTGAATAGATACAGTTTGTTTCATAGTTGGTCCTGCTGTTTTCAAGTCAGTAAGAGGGGGTTTCAATAATTGAGACTTTTTCTTGTTAGATTCCTGGGAATCTGTAGCCAAAACAGAGAACTTATTTCAAGTGGTGTTTATAGCTGACTCACTTACAGTTTCCGTCACAAATAAGTCCATCTGATCTAGTCGCAGTTGTTTAGCGACCTTGGGAGGAAAGTTAGAAGCAGTCCACTGTCATTTCTTCTTCTTCCCCTTTATGCCTTTTTTTGCGCTCCAATAATCCACAGTAATCCAGGTGTTTAAAAGTCAATTTAGGCCACCACTGTAGTCTCTAGATACCCTCAGAGCACATCATTAGTATGATGAGAAAATAGAAATGCCTGAGTGTAGGGTTAAAATAAATAAGATTTAAAAAAAGAGTGAGCCAAGGACAGTTGTCATCACTGAG